TCCCTCAAAACAACCGCAGCCTCCCTGATAAAAAAAAATAAAGATTCATCGCTTCCTTCTCCCTCTCTCTCAACTCTTCCCCGGCAACACAACTCTGGCGTAGGAGGCATGGCGTTCCCACTTCTCTCTTGCTTTCTATCTCTCTACATTTCCCCCCACAAGTAGCACAAATTTGAATTGTCGGTGCTAGCAACACTACAGCATTTGCGATTGACGCATGCAAAGTTCAACTTCTATGATGGCTTCATCCCAGGTTATGCCGATTCTCCGTAACGTAACGGTAGTGTGCCTGGCAGCACGATCTGTGGCCTCATCTATTTGGATAGCTCCATCCTGTAGTGATTTGCAGTGCGTCATCGCACTACAGCGTGCATGTCGCTCGCATCGTAGCGATCTGTTGCCGTCGTAGATGGCTATAGCTGTTGATTGGTTGCGATGGTGGTTACGATCGTGGTGGCAGTGGCTGCGTGGTGGATTTGTGTTTGTGGTGTGGTGGATTTGTGGATTTCTATAGTTGGTTTGCTGTGATGGTGAGATGGTGGTGGTTGTGGTGTTGCAACGACGACTGTGGTGTTGGTGTGGTTGTAGTGGTGATAATGTTAGAGTTCATTTTTTGGCGGTGTTTGGGCACGGTAGTTGTGGTGGTTTTTGGTTGTTAAGAGTGTGGTGGTGTCAGCTTCCATGTTTTGAGGGTGGCGGTGGCAGTAGACGACGGTGGTCGTTGCAGTGGGTACGATGGTGATGGTGAGATGTTGGTGGTCGTGGACTATCAAGGTGGATGTGTTGATTTTGTTTGAAATAGTGGTATTATTATAGGATGATGGTGCATCGTAGCGATTCGTTGCCGCTGTAGATGGCTATAGCTGTTGATTGGTTGCGACGGTGGTTACAATCGTAGTGGGGTGACTGTGTGGTGGATTTGCGTTTGTGGTGTGGGGGATTTGTGGAGTTCTATAGTTGGTCTGCCGTGATGGTGAGATTGTGGTGGTGATGGTTGTGGTGTTGCAATGGCGACTGTGGTGTTGGTGTGGTTGTGGTGGTGATAATGTTGGAGTTGATTTTTTTGTGGTGTTTGGGCACGGTAGTTGTGGTGGTTTTTGGTTGTTAAGAGTGTGGTGGTGTCAGCTTCCATGTTTTGAGGGTGGCAGTGGCACTAGATGACGGTGGTCATCGTAGTGGGTGCGATGGTGACGGTGAGATGTTGGTGGTCGTGGACTGTCGAGGTGGATGTGTTGATTTTGTTTGAGACAGTGGTGTTGTTGTAGGGTGATGGTGGTGGTAGTTTTGACGCTGACGGTGGCATTGGTGATGTTGGAGGCAGTTGTTGTTTGGTGTTCATCACAGATTAATCGGTTGATTGTGATCATAAAATTGGTTAATTTGTGACCGATAAACAATATGTGACCAACAAGAAAGATAAATTGTAAGCAAAAATAATGCGTGACCTAAAAAATTAATAATTTGTCTGTTTAATAAGTTGTGACCTAAATATCTATAATCTGTGACCTATAAATAAATTATGGCATATAAATTGTTGATCTATGACCGATGAACAAATTATAACCTACAAAAATTTTGAATTGTGACCGTAAAATAATTTGTGACATTAAAAAAAAATTGATTTGTGATCGAAAAATAATATCTAACCAATTAAATTGCGAATCTATGAACAAATTGTATAGATCCGTAACCATAATATATTTAATTAATAAAATATATGATTAATTAACTAAACTATAAATAAAATGTAATAAATATTAAATTTTTGAAATTTGAAACTTGTATTTTTAGTTTTGAAATAGGTAATAATTATCCTCTTAATTTTGAAATTTTCCCTTTTTATAAACTGGCCCAATGGAGCCAATCTAATGGATCGTTGGTCCAGCCAAACCCTATAATGAATGCTAACCTATGAACTACGCTGGACAAGTTTCAGTCTATAATTTTAACCAGCCAAGCTTTTGGGTCTAGGCGACATGTCAATATGTTATTTGTTTAATATTTTATCATATACAAATTTGGTTACAACGCATGCACAGGTGAATCCAGGACCTTACTAAATTTTTAATTTTTTTTCTTAAGTCAGCCTAATATGTAAAAAATAAAAAAATATATTACACGTAAAAAAGTTTGGAGGACGGGGAGCCCAGGCAAATACCCCTAAATCCGCCAATTAACGAACGGAATCATAATATTTAATATCCATATTCAACAATAAATACAAGTCACAAATAATATGTGCAATAACACGATAGAAAAGACCAAAAATTTAAGCCAAAATACATAGGAAAATAATTAGCAAAGAGTAATGGCTGCATATCAAAAATGCGATTTGAGTTAATCTGAGGCATCAACGCAGTTCCTTTGCGCAGGCAATTATGCATTTTTCCATATTTGCTTGGCAGCAACACCAACCTGATTTCTTTAATGGCAACTTGTGCTTAAAAAACTAAAAAGCTTTTTGTTTAAATCCTTCCTAATTACGTACTCTACCAGGGGATTCGATATGAAAATAGTAATCGTGATGGTATGAGTATTTATTAAATAATTCCAACTTGCTTCATTTATTAGTGGAAACAGAGATGACAACAATGAGAATAAAGGAAGAATATACTCGGAAGAGAGAAGACATATCATTTTGATTTATTTCGTTCCTCAATAATAATGGGAAAAAGTTGATATTTTGAGTTAAATTAATATAAACTCAGTCATATATACTACGTACTGCCTTTTTTACTTTTCTTGAATTAACTTATATAATTTCAAATACAAATAAATTCACTTATTATTTGTTCTCGGCTTCTGAAAAACAAAATACATTATCACATTTAAGAAAGCACAATCTAAGAAATATTGACAAGGTAACATTTATATTTTATTTAAAATTGTAAAATTATATTTATAAATCTATAAATTCATTCGAGACAAGTGTACATAAACAAAAGATCTACCCTCCCTGAGTAGTTGAGGGGTCGGAGGTTCATGGACGAGGATATAATTTGGCGCAAGTTGGGACATCTAATCTACACTTGTAACAAGAGACAGCACGTGAATGTCGACATGTTGTCCATACTACTCAACATTGTGGAGGGACCCTTAATTATCAAACATTAGCAAGAGATAACAAAAAAAGGTAAAAATATGCCATACCTAACCCAACAAAAAAATAATAATAATAATAATAAATAAAATAAAAATAAATAAATAAAATTCCACCGCCAAGAAATACGCAAATATAACATGTAATTCACTCATTGAGCTCCTCCATTTGACAGAACACATCCCCGCCACTGGGGTTTGGGCTAGAATAGTCCCCTGCACCAACACCGCCATGTCTCACCCCGCCACCCCTTCTCCACCAAACCTGTCACAGCTGCACCGACCACCGCCACCTACAACCCCTTCTCTATACAAACAGAATTCTTGGTCTCACGATGACTACCGCGACGGGGCGTGGCAGCGGAGGAAGGTCCTACAAAAACGGCGGAGCAAAAGCGTCACCGAAGAGGATCTTGATGAACTCAAGGCCTGCATAGAGCTTGGCTTCGGATTCGACTCGCCGGAAATGGACAAGCGTTTGTCGGATACTTTACCAGCGTATGGCCTCTACTACTCAGTCAGCAAGAATTACAACGACACCGTTACAAGGCCACCGCCTTTATTCCCTCCGTCAACTTCCATCCTCTCCGTCTGCGACACTCCCTCTCCTCACGGAAGCCCCAACACCATCTTCGACCCTGGTAAATTAATTAAACCTTATTCAACACTTTTTATATTACAAGTCGAAAATCAATCAACAAATTTCGATTAACCGTTTGTTCATTCAAATGTAGGGGATGATCCACAGACGGTAAAGACAAGGTTGAGACAATGGGCACAAGTGGTGGCATGTACGGTGCGTCAATCTTCGTGTTAATTAATAAAGATTAATGATATAATTATAAAATCGTGGGTACTTCAAATTCTGGTTTTAGCGTACAAGCAATATCTGTACTGTAAGTAAATAATGTAAAGATAACCCAAACCCAACTAGCTTTGTTTAATAGTTAATACAATAGGTATTTTGTAAAATATATTTTCTATAATCGTTTAAGAATCAGAAGTTCGGTTTAATCAAAGTGGGATAAATAGCTTGAGCATGGTTTGGTTTCCGGTTAGGGGTGTAAGCGGTCCGATTTTATCGATTTTTGACAAATTTTCAAACCAAACCGTTTCAACCAGTTTGAGAAAAATTGAAGCCTAAATCAAACCATTTTGAACGGTTTGAAAAAAACTCAAACCTAAATTTAACGGTTTGGTCCGGTTTTAAACCGTCGGTTTCCCCATATATTTTTTTTCCATCTACCTTTATGTCATTAATTCATTGAATTCAATATATATTTAAATCTCACTAGCAATAAATCTAAATCTAAATAAGCCCGCTGTTTGAACAAAATTTTTGGGATAAAAAAATGAAAATTTGGATCGTTATCCCACAAGTTCAGTCGCCTTTGTTGACCTGTTATTTTATGTGTGGGACTCAACTTCCTCTTCAACGATCAATTTTCTCATTATGATGATATGAAAAATATGACTCAAATAGAGCTAAATATATCTACTATAAATTTAAATACCAACTAAATCAAAGTGAAATCACAATAAATTAAAACATAGTTTTTTTTTTTCATTTTTGTTCATATTTTTTAGACTAATGACGATACAATAACATTACAATACAAGTCTACTAAACTAGATATAAGGCCAAAAAAATATAATAATGTCCAACAAGATCTCATGATCATCATATTTGAAAAAATGATACTGATTAAACAAAGAAAATAATCAACCACACTAATAAAACAATTGTTTATAATATCTAAACATAATAATTACACAAATTTACGTTTGTATTATGTTACGAAGTGCATTTAATTTCAGATTCTTACCTTAGTTTGCTTCAAAAAAATTATTGATTTGAAATTTTATTCGTAGCAAATATTATCACTGAAGGTTTAAGATCTCTTTGTCTTCGATTTGGCATAATGGATTTCAATTTAACTTTAAAGAGGCGTGAAAAATTTGAAAAAGAAGTATGTGATGCCGGTGGTTCAAGACTATGTTGGATGTCGGCTGGAGTTCATCTAAATTCTAAAGAGGAAAAGGGCTTTTGATAAATTATGTTAGTCTCGAGATTATTAGATATAAATTATGATTATTGGATAATAATAA